TCCTCACCACCACCATCCTTGGAAACACACACACATGGAAGCTGCGGTTGATGGAATATAATTAGATAGTTTTTTAACCTTGGGATTGATTGATTGATGAAGATTAAGCCACCCAAAAGGTGACACGGGCATGAATAGCCCGTAAGTGGTGGCCCTTTTGAGTCATTACCAGTATCAATAGATGATACTGGAGATCTGTGGAGGTGCGACTGCACCCTGCGTGACGGGAGATGTCTCCCGGAAAGTGTGTGTTAACCTTGGGGGTTAGTAAGGTTGCTGGCGGGTGTGATTCATTTAGCATCGCCAGGATTAGTAATGTTTTGATAATAATGAAAAAGTATCTTGCATGCTACCTATCTGAATCGGCTATAATGTTTGCGTATATATTAATCTTTTAGTTCTAGTCAAGGTTATGCAGATAGTCTCTAGGAAGATTTGTTGATTGAAGTGTGAATAATTTTCTTTATTTCGTTTTTCCAATTGATTATAAATTTTTTTTATATCAGTGGAAAGCCTACTAGAGATTTTCTTGTATTGAACCCTATTCTGGTTATCTCTGGTAACTTGTGAAGGAGCCAAGCGGACTTTATGGTAACGAATGTTATCAAGGCCTTCGTGTTTTAATTTGAAAACAATATGACGAATTTGATTCTAGTTTATAACAGCATATAGCTGTTATATGGCGGCGAGTTGTTGTTTGGGGGATAAATTACGTCGGCCTTTTTCACGTTAGCAATAATTGTAAACAACCTTAGTGTTTGCTGCTACTTTATGCTCCAGTGTTTAATTTTATCAACAATGACTTCCTTAAATGACTATTTTGGTTCCTTGATACCTGTTGATTACCTTATTAATGATTTCAAGAGTTGCTCTTCTCTCTCAGCAAGGTCTGTGGGCCTCCTTCCCTGGTGATTGCCTGGGGCCAGATTCATGAAGCAGTTACGCGAGCACTTACGAACGTGTACATCTTTTCTCAATCTTTGCGGCTTTGTTTCCAATTATTAAACAGTTAATGAGCTCCGAAGCATCAGGAGGCTGTTTATAACAATAACAACAGTTGAATGGGAAGTTTTCATGCTTGTAAACTGTTTAATAAATGTAACCAAAGCCGTCAAAGATTGAGGAAAGATGTACACGTTCGTAAGTGCTTGCGTAAGTGCTTTCGTGAATCTGGCCCCTGGTCTGTGAGCCGGTAGCTCATAGCTTGACGGCCCTACATAGCCACCATCACAGTCAGGCTCATCCTGTAACCCCAGCAGACATTTCTTAAATTTGTTGGCAGGGGATTCAAGAGTTGTCGGCCTCTGATGTTCGCTTTAAATTTGCGACACGCGTGGTAGTGTTCTATATTTTCCCTTGGCATTGGCCTAAGAATTCAATTTCTTTCTTTATTATGCACCCCATACCCATCCCGTGGGCGGAGGTGTAAAGGATTACAGAGGCACATAATCGGTTCAGGAACTGAACCCTCTAGTTCTAAGATTAATTAGAATAGGTTACTGATTGCGTGGGAGGCCTTTTTTTGTTTTTGTTTTTTAAGGATAACTTACATAATCTTTGTCAAGTGGATTCCACCCGTTTCAGGGCCAGATATGGTCTTCCCTTGTATAATATTTATAATTCAATAGTATAGTATTGTGTTACCTCAAAATATTTTAAAACTAAATTCACTCGAAATTTTAAGTTATGCCCGAAGCGCGCGCATAATTAGGTACTTTATAAACTCAACAAATACAGTACCCACTAAATAAGCACTTTAATACGATCCTGTGGACATCTTATAATTATAGTAATACAATTATAATAAATATATTATTATTAGTATTCTATATCAGGTTTGTGGTAGTAAGTACTGGTGATAGATATATATATATATATATATAACTGATTAGAACTTGCGTTTCCCTGATTTTATATCTACATTTGAGTGAGGTGGGAAGGGTGATGTGGCATTACATTTGAGTAAGGTGGGAAGGATGATGTGGCATTAGAGGATATTAATAGGGTATTAAAAGTATCAACACAAGACAGAACACGAAACAATGGATATTGAATAGAAGTGTTTGTAGAAAGCCTATTGGTCCATATTTCTTGATGCTTCTATATTGGAGCGGAGTCTTGAGGTGGGTAGAATATAGTTGTGCACAACTATATTCTACCCACCTCAAGACTCCGCTCCAATATAGAAGCATCAAGAAATATGGACCAATAGGCTTTCTACAAACACTTCTATTCAATATCCATTGTTTCGTGTTCTGTCTTGTGTTGATACTTTTAATACCCTATTAATATCCTCTAATGCCACATCATCCTTCCCACCTTACTCAAATGTAATGCCACATCACCCTTCCCACCTCACTCAAATGTAGATATAAAATCAGGGAAACGCAAGTTCTAATCAGTTGTGTATTTGTGAAGTCTTTGAAAATGTAATAAGTTTTACGAAACGCGCCCGTGTCGCGTCAGACTAGAAATAAAAATGAATTTTGGAGAAGTGATTTTTGATTTACCTCCAACAGTGAAGCATAATGTACGAAAGATTGAGAAAATTCGTGTTAGAATTATTAATCTTACTTTTTCGGTCATATTTAATAAAATATATATATATATATATATATATATATATATATATATATATATATATATATATATATATATATATATATATAAACAAATACAGTACTTTGATATGGTACGTAGCAATATTGTTGTGAAATTTGTTGTTAAAGATTCGCTACTTGGAACAAGCAGTTCCAAGTAGCACGGGCTATGGTGAGCCCGTAGGTTGTATATACTTGTGAAATTAGAGTTAACTGTTTTAATTATGAAGAGGAAAGTGGGCGCAGTGTATTCTAGGCCGACACCAGAAAGGACATTTCTAGCTATTTTTGGCGGGGGAGTACAGCTGAAAGCGTTAATTCCGTCTTATGTACATATTTCAATGTTTCCAGTCACCGAATGTTAATCGAACAGAGATTTAAAATATACAAGTAAAATAAAATTTATACTAGTAATATATGAATGTAAAAGGTGGAATTATTATAGGTGATTGCAAGTTTGGCCATTGTAATCCGGCATTTCAATAAAAACGTATTTCTAAGGTAATTTGGTACAACAATTATTATTTTCAAAGTCGTGTTGACAAGGAATAACAGTGTGTAAAGCTTAGTTGTTTAACATAGTTACCCCTGTAATTTGACAAACGATTCACAGAAAACGAAATCAGAATAATGCAAGAGAAAATGTAGCTTCTTATTTTAAGGATACACTAATGTACTTTGTTTTAGTCATCATCTCGTTTGATTTTTGGGAAAATAATAGTTTTATTTCAAGCGAAAAAATTACAGATTTACTAGTGATTTGTTATCCTAATGAATTGCGGTACTTATATTCAGTTTTTTTTCTGTAATTCAGTTAGAAAGGTTACCACTGACTTTCCTCTGAAATTCTCAGTTTCCCTCTTTGTATGATCTTTAAGAAAACAAATATATATTGTTACTGTGTTTTTGGACAATGATTTAAATAAAGTGAAATAATTGTTTCATTAGCTTAATGCCGGGAGGTATCAAGCATTTGCGTATCCGCTTACGAAACCTGTACATCTGTCAGGGCGACTTGTTATGTGTTTATTGAAAAGTTTACGAGTTTGGAAACTCAACGAGGTCGATCTCGACCCAAGGTTGTTATATTTGAGTACTTCCTCGTAGCGGCTCATAGACTGTTTAATAAACGCCAACTAGCTCGATATAATGGATGAAAGATGTACAGGTTTCGTAAGTGTGCACACGTGAATGCTTGGCGAATCCTGGTGGTGGTCCGTGCACGTAATTACTGCAGCCTGGGGCTAGATTCACGAAACAGTTAGGCAAACACTTACGAACCTGTCCATCTTTTCTCAATCTATGGCGGCTTTGTTTCCAATTATTAAACAGTTAATGAGCTCCGAAGCACCAGGAGGCTGTTTATAACAATAACAACAGTTGATTGGGAAGTTTTCATGCTTGTAAACTGTTTAATAAATGTAACCAAAGCCGTCAAAGATTGAGGAATGATGTACACATTCGTAAGTGCTTGCGTAAGTGCTTTCGTGAATCTGGCCTGAGGTCCCATAAGCTAAGGCGACCAGGCTGTCCCCATGGTCACCCATATAGTTACCGACCAGACATATCACAGCTTAACCTGACTGAGTGCCACCATCCAAATTTGACCTTGACAGATTTTTTTTTTAACTTGAAAGTTATATAATGGGAGAATACTGTCAATTATTTCAAATTTCGGTATACTATAACTGTCTATAACTAATAACTATAGTTATATAGTATATAATATATAACTATAACTATAACTAAGTAAGGCATGATACTGTGTTCATTTGCATGTTTATAGGCCTATCGCACACCCACTTAAATTTATGGATGTTGATCAGATACCACACACTAGAAGGTGAAGGGACGACGACGACGTTTCGGTCCGTCCTGGACCATTCTCAAGTCGATTGAACGCGGGTGACAATCGACTTGAGAATGGTCCAGGACGGACCAAAACGTCGTATTATGTATTAGCGATAAGACCTACCATTAATGTATGATGACTTACTGTAAATATGTAGCTCTTGTAATAGCACTTTCTCTGTAACTAGCTGACATTGTATCTATAAGGTGTAAAGGATTGAAGAAATTGTTTATGTAATAATCTAAGATGAGGTCTGATAAAGACCTTTTGTGCCCTCTGTAATGCTTTTGCGCTACCGCTCACAGGATGAGTATGGGGTGCACAATAAACTAGCCGCCTTCGGCGGCAACAATCAATCAGTCGTCGTCGTCCCTTCACCTTCTAGTGTGTGGTCTAGTCAACATTCTTCAGCCACGTTATTGTGACTCACCGCCTGTAAATTTATGGATATTTTATATCCAATAAAATTACCATTTTATTGTTAGGTCAAAGATTCTTTTCCTGTCGGAATGTGATGAAATCCAACACTGTTCACATTTGTTTTTCAGGTATGTTCCGGAAATACAAGGGCGAGTTTGACCTGATGACAGCGAACGGTGAGTACCCCGTCTTAGTACATTACGTGTTTGTGGTTTACCTGGGGTTTACCTCGAGTCAGTTCAAGAGTTCTTCTACTCACCCCTGACAGCTGAGTGGACAGCGCTTCGGATTCGTAGTCCTGAGGTTCCGGGTTCGATCCCCCGGTGGAGGCGGAAACAAATGGACAGAGTTTCTTTCACCGTGGTGTGTCTGCTCACCTAGCAGTAAATAGGTACCTGGGAGTTAGACAGCTGCTACGGGCTGCTTCCTGGGGATGTGTAACAAAAAGGAAGCCTGGTCGAGGACCGGGCCGCGGGCATGTTAAGCCCCGAAATCATCTTAAGATAACCTCAAGATAACCCCAAGTCCGGCCTGGGGCCAGACTAGTTGTGTGATAACTGGATATAACAAGATTTAGCGGCCCAGAACCCGGTTTGTCCGGCACTTCCTGCAGGAATTATAATTTTTTTTTGTTTAACGCATCCATCTTTGTTCCGGTAATATTTCCTGTATTTGTTGGGAGGAGATTGAAGAGCGGTGAACCCCCGGTGTGCAGGCGATGAGTCACAATAACGTGGCTAAAGTATGTTGACCAGACCACACACTAGAAGGTGAAGGGACGACGACGTTTCGGTCAGTCCTGGACCATTCTCAAGCCGATTGTCACCCCCGTTCAATCGACTTGAGAATAGTCCAGGACGGACCGAAACGTCGTCGTCCCTTCACCTTCTAGTGTGTGGTCTGGTCAACCCCCGGTGTACACACAGTGTTCCCTGGTGGTGGTCATGGCGCCTCTGCTATGTGCTGGATCTCTCCTACCTCTGCTGCCCAGGTACGGCCTCCACCCAGACTAATAATTACCTTCTTAGTTTAAAATATAAATCACGATCTTCCGGATCTCAAGTCAGGAATAAATTATTGAATTATAAACACTCTGGCATAACACTATCAAGGTTAATGCTTACAAAATGCTCAATATCAATACATATTAGGATCAATTCTTGGGAAAATGCAAAACTGAAACGAAATGATCAAACTTTAAATATAATGTTCAATTATAGGCGTAAATAATAATCAACAATGGCGCTTCTGAACGAAGACAAACGCCTCTGCTTGGGAGAAGTGCATCATGGTCAAGCTCCGAGGACAGAGCCATGATGACGTCTCCACCTTGCAGCTCTGCAAGATCATCTTGCCTCAAGACTCCTGACACGGGCACTTAGCGTGTAAGTGTCGCAGTTAGGAGTAGAACACAGTCTTTATACCTGCTTCATGTGGGTTCTGGGAGTTCTTCTACTGCCCAAGCCCGGCCCGAGGCTAGGCTTGACTTATGAGAGTTTGGTCCACCAGGCTGTTGCTTGGAGCGGCCCGCAGGCCCACATACCCACCACAGCCCGGTTGGTCCGGCACTCCTTGAAGGAATAAATCGAGTTTCCTCTTGAAGATGTCTTAAAGTATGGGTGAGCACCATGGTCTCTCATGAGGGAAGTGGCCATGGTTGGCGGGAAGACGAGCCACGCCAGTCTCGTATACCACAGTGTACGAGACCTCTGGATGTACACAACCTTCGTGTAGTGTACATCCAGAGGGACCTTACACCCGTATACTCCCGCAGGATATGGAGACCAGTGAAGGCGTGTAACCATGCTGCCAGGCTACACCACCACCTGCAGTCCCAACTATCGGAAGGCAGTCCCGATATGGGAATGGCACCAACACACTGATGGAATGGTGTGTAAAATGACCCCCCATAGCTTAGGCGAACACCAGGTTGTGTGTCGAACACCATCAGCAGCCAGTCCCACGGCTCGTGTCCCCTGCCGACGGTGTACCAGTCCCACGGCTCGTGTCCCCTGCCGACGGTGTACCAGTCCCACGGCTCGTGTCCCCTGCCGACGGTGTACCAGTCCCACGGCCCGTGTCCCCTGCCGGCGGTGTACCAGTCCCACAGCCCGTGTCCCCTGCCGACGGTGTACCAGTCCCACGGCTCGTGTCCCCTGCCGACGGTGTACCAGTCCCACAGCCCGTGTCCCCTGCCGACGGTGTACCAGTCCCACGGCTCGTGTCCCCTGCCGACGGTGTACCAGTCCCACGGTTCGTGTCCCCTGCCGACGGTGTACCAGTCCCACGGTTCGTGTCCCCTGCCGACGGTGTACCAGTCCCACGGTTCGTGTCCCCTGCCGACGGTGTACCAGTCCCACGGCCCGTGTCCCCTGCCGACGGTGTACCAGTCCCACAACCCGTGTCCCCTGCCGACGGTGTACCAGTCCCACAGCCCGTGTCCCCTGCCGACGGTGTACCAGTCCCACGGCCCGTGTCCCCTGCCGACGGTGTACCAGTCCCACAGCCCGTGTCCCCTGCCGACGGTGTACCAGTCCCACGGCTCGTGTCCCCTGCCGACGGTGTACCAGTCCCACGGTTCGTGTTCCCTGCCGACGGTGTACCAGTCCCACGGCCCGTGTCCCCTACCGACGGTGTACCAGTCCCACGGCCCGTGTCCCCTGCCGACGGTGTACCAGTCCCACGGTTCGTGTTCCCTGCCGACGGTGTACCAGTCCCACGGCCCGTGTCCCCTGCCGACGGTGTACCAGTCCCACGGTTCGTGTCCCCTGCCGACGGTGTACCAGTCCCACGGCCCGTGTCCCCTGCCGACGGTGTACCAGTCCCACGGCCCGTGTTCCCTGCCGACGGTGTACCAGTCCCACGGTTCGTGTTCCCTGCCGACGGTGTACCAGTCCCACGGCCCGTGTCCCCTACCGACGGTGTACCAGTCCCACGGCCCGTGTCCCCTGCCGACGGTGTACCAGTCCCACGGTTCGTGTTCCCTGCCGACGGTGTACCAGTCCCACGGTTCGTGTCCCCTGCCGACGGTGTACCAGTCCCACGGCCCGTGTCCCCTGCCGACGGTGTACCAGTCCCACGGCTCGTGTCCCCTGCCGACGGTGTACCAGTCCCACGGTTCGTGTCACCTGCCGACAGTGTACCAGTCCCACGGCTCGTGTCCCCTGCCGACAGTGTATCAGTCCCACGGCTCGTGTCCCCTGCCGACAGTGTACCAGTCCCACGGCCCGTGTCCCCTGCCGACGGTGTACCAGTCCCACGGCCCGTGTCCCCTGCCGACGGTGTACCAGTCCCACGGCCCGTGTCCCCTGCCGACGGTGCAGCAGGAGGCAGCCTCGCCCGAGTCCCGTGGGGCATGCCTCGCCGCCCATCCTCTATATATAACTTTTATAGCGTCATTATCATATTGGGGAGGGCGAGCTTGAGTCACTCCTGGGGGACACTCCTGGGGGACACTCCTGGGGGACACTCCTGGGGGACACTCCTGGGGGACACTCGGGAGAACTTTTCGGCACCAACTTCTCCCAGTTTGTAAACCTCTGAACACGCTAGTGTGTTCCTGTTTGCGGAGCCGTTTGTAGAATTTTGCCTTATCTGTGTAAAGTTCCTGTTCTTGTATTTGTCTTCGAGTCGTATCTCGGTTTGCCTCTGAGGGCTTGTATCAGATAAGGACGATAAGGATTAGGTCTAGTGACGAGGGAGAGAAAGAGGGGGGGTTGAAAGTTACCGGGGGGGGGGATTACACTTTTTGTGAAAATTAATTTGCTAAGCTAAATAAACATTGTGGAACAGTTGCTGAGCCCAATATGTGTCTCAGTTACCCTAGTCACTAGCACTCATAGGACGAGTATAGGGTGCACAATAAATAAACTAAAAACAAAAACTACTGCTATTCATATCATACCCTTGAAAATAATTAGTACATCAACCGCCAGGAATGTGTCGTGATGCATTATTTAAAGTGTTAAACATGCCCACACCTACCTTCTTCCCCCTCCCCCCACCACCCTACACCTGTCCCTGTAGACTCCCGTACATACACTCTTCACCTTTATGAAGCACCACTGATGTATTAGGCAGAGAGGGGGAGGGGGAGAGGGAGAGGGGGAGGGGGAGGGGGAGAGGGAGAGGGAGAGGGAGAGGGAGAGGTGGCCGCGGTACCTGGCGGGTCTTGAGACAGGCCTGGACACAGTCTCCGCCAGGGAGAGCGTCTGGTGGGCCAAGGACACCACAACCACCAAATTATACGACTCTCTTTTTCAAACAAATAGGTAACTGTGGAACCTTTCCTCCAGGCCGACAGCCTCTCCACCCCCCCCCCCCCCCTCTCTCTCTCTCTCTCTCTCTCTCTCTCTCTCTCTCTCTCTCTCTCTCTCTCTCTCTCTCTCTCTCTCTCTCTCTCTCTCTCTCTCTCTCTCTCTCTCTCTCTCTCTCTCTCTCTCTCTCTCTCTCTCTCTCTCTCTCTCTCTCTCTCTCTCTCTCTCTCTCTCTCTCTCTCTGTCTTCGTCTCTCTCTCTCTCTCTCTCTCTCTCTCTCTCTCTCTCTCTCTCTCTCTCTCTCTCTCTCTCTCTCTCTCTCTCTCTCTCTTATTGCTCTACGTGACATTTTTTATGGTGTCTTCATCGGCAGATTAATATTATTTTTAATGCCACATTCAAAGTACAAACATTTAATAATTGAGAGGATTTATTCAAAGATATGCTTACGAATTGTGAATTGATATGTTACAAAAGAGTAGCTTCTTAGGAGCACGTGGAAGGTAAGAGAGAAGGAAGAGAGAGGAAGAGTAAGGGCCTCTCCCCTTGTATATGTATGCTCCCCTTGTATATGTATGTATATGTACGTACGTATGTATATGTACGTACGTGAATGAAGGCAGGGCGGGGTGGACAGATGAGTGACGTGTGTGTACTTACTATTTGTCTCCAGAATCGAGCTCTTAGCTCTTGGACCCCGCTTTTCTAACCAATCTAGTTTTCCTTTATCATACTTACTACATATATTTCTCTCTAACACACACAAACACACATCCCACGGAAGCAGCCCGTAGCAGCTGTCTAACTCCCAGATACCTATTTACTACTAGGTAGGTGAACAGGAACATCAGGTGTAAGGATATTTGCCCAAACGTCTCGCAATGTTCGGGGGGGATCGAACCCAGGACTAACTGTTGTGAGCTACTTCGGTCCTGGTTATTTAGTGTCAGGTAAGAATGTATAATGGTGACCAGGGAGATAGTGTGGGTTACTTTACCTTGAGGTGTTTCCGGGGCTCAGCGTCCCCGCGGCCCGGTCGTCTTGTGCAGATAACTGTGTTGGGTCTTTTGATTCTGTTTCTGAGCGTCGATAAACGCTCATTAGTGCCGGTAAACGCCTAATTGAGACCGATAAACGCTTCATTAGCGCCGATGAACGCTGCATTAGCGGCCATAAACGTTCCATTAGCGCCGATACACGCTCCATTAGCGCCGATACACGCTCCATTAGCGCCGATACACGCTCCATTAGCGCCCATAAACGCTCCATTAGCGCCCATAAACGCTCCATTAGCGCCAATAAACGCTCCATTAGCGCCCATAAACGCTCCATTAGCGCCAATAAACGCTCCATTAGCGTCGATAAACGCTTCATTACCGCCAATAAACGCTCCATTAGCGCCGATAAACTCTCCATTACCGCCAATAAACGCTCCATTAGCGCCGATAAACGCTCCATTAGCGGTGTTTTGGACAAATATTAGAAGAGAAACTGCGATTTATTTCGCTCCCTACATCAGATTCGTTTTTACGCTGTCATATTCCGGCTTTAACGAGCGCCGTCTAGCGGTGGCGGACCCGTAATTAATACACGTTCCGATTGACCCGTTGACAGGTGACATGACACCAATTACCACCGGTGTCATGCACCGCCCGTGGCAGCTACCGGTGTCACGCGCCGCCCGTGGCAGCCACCGGTGTCATGCGCCGCCCGTGGCAGCCACCGGTGTCATGCGCCGCCCGTGGCAGCCACCGGTGTCATGCGCCGCCCGTGGCAGCCACCGGTGTCATGCGCCGCCCGTGGCAGCCACCGGTGTCATATGTGCCTCCTGGTCTAACTGGTCACCTTACCATACACCACAAGCCGACACACAAGGACAAGCCCATTAATATCGAGATACGAGTAATAAATCACCGTGTATTAGATAAATCAATCCATACGCGCGCCATTATGTTTGAGGGCGGGGGGTGGTGAGACAGGGCGGGGGGGGAGGGGTGGTGAGGCAGGGCGGGGGGGGGGTGAGGCAGGGCGGGGGGGGGGAAGGGGGTGAGGCAGGGCGGGGGGGGGGGGGGGGTAGGCAGGGCGGGGGGTGGTGAGGCAGGGCGGGGCGGGGGGGGGGGGGAAGGGGGTGAGGCAGGGCGGGCGGTGGGGACCATTATTCCGGGCCGTGTGTCACCATTTGCGCGTGATGGCCGCGTCAGTATTTATATACTGCGCATTTTTCACTGCCTCTTGCGCCTGGTACAGATTTTAATGAGATATTAAATAAATATAATACACCATAATTCATAGCTGCTGTTTATAATGCTCTCCTGCCCACGATTTAAATAGTATATATGTTATGTATGTATGTTATGTATGTATGTATATGTACGTACGTGTATGAAGAGCAAGGAGAGACATGCACAGAGAAAACAAAAGCGATTAAAAGTACAGTGAAGAAGATAGAGGATAGAGCAAGTCAATTGAAGGTTAAAATTTAGAAAATCAAATATAAATACTTGTTCAAAGCGAAGAGATGTGAAACACTATATAAACATATATTTTAGAGACTGCAGCACCGTGCAGATCGCGCGGTGAACCAGGGAGAAAAATAGAGCAGAAATCCACATTTATAAATGTAATAAGTCGAGAGGCATGCCAAGAGAGCATGCCTCTCGACAAAGAAGAGAGGGCAGGACACGAGAGAGAGCTTTGTTTATTCCCAATCAAATGTTATATGCAGCACTTGGAAGGGATAGGTCGGGGGAAG